GTCTTCCACCCCAGTACACAGGGAGGGACCCGTAGAACTGATGGTAAACGATCGATTCATCTGTTTTCACAACTATTTGTTTATCAAGTGTAAGAAACTTGCAGATTACAGTTTGTCGCATTGTTTTCAAAAGTCGTTTTTCCCGACCATCATCTGACAACGCAAAATAACTTGGAACTAAAAAGGCGTTTTGCTTTTTTGTTGAAGAAATTTATTAAAATTATTAATTAAATAGTTTTTTTTTACTAATGAATAATCAGATAATCGTTTCAGCTTTATTATGACGTTAGTACATAAATCGTGTCACCATTTTAACTCTGCCGTCCATCAGGTATAAACTTCATGAGGCTTTCTTCACATCGTGACCCCTACACATCACAATTACATCAGGGAGTCACGGAGGAGCTGAATCACATTTTAGTCCAAATAAAAGTAGTTCTGACAACTCTAGGTTTTTGACATTTAATTATTTTATATTTTTCATGTAAAGTTGGACTTTTTCTCGATTGTGTTGGTTGTTTATTTCCAAAGAGGAGGATGGAGGGAGAGAAAAAGACGGCCGAGGAGATAGAGGAGGAGGAGAAACAGCTTCATCATCACATCGCAGCAGCGTCCTCTGCAGACTACCAGGACCTTCCCATCATGCACTGGGAGGACCTGAGCCAGCGGATAGCTGAGTTGGAGAAGCAGGAGCAGGAGAGGAGGGAAAGGGCAAAGGTCAGTCAGTGCTGGTATTTCCTGAATAATCTGGGTCTCGGGTTTGGTAGCCGTTAAGAAAAAAAAAACGACATTTCCCATAAGCCTTGGTGTCCTGCTCCCACCCCAAAGAGTGTTCACAGTGGACTCTGATTGGAAAGCAGACTCTTCCTGCTCATTTACTGTTTTTATGAGCAAATAATCAGCTGTGAGAGCATTGATGGCAGGTGACCGACGACACGGTAAAAGGTCGCAGTCGGGCCAGAGGGCTCGGAACAAAAATATAAAGCCACGCAAAACAAACGCTGACCCAAAACAAGGAGCTTCATACATGTGAAATGAGCTGCAAGTGCCTCCTCCAGTCTGGGGGGGTCTGGTCCTGTGTCGCGGGGCGGGGGCATTTTACACGTCTGTGTTTCACAGTCTGTCCGTGGCTGTAGGACACCTGGAGCCGCACACAACAGCTGTTCACTCATGGCCATGTACTTGGTATCCATTTATTACACGGAGTAAACAGTGTGACTCTGTATCAGGTTCAGTTTAGTAGTGACGTTAAACTTCCTACAGATGAGTAAAACCCTCCACTGTATGAAGACGTTTCGGATAATTCCAGCTGGGTTTCCTTGTTTTGTCCTTCACTATCAGTCTCTACAGCAGCTTCCACTTCTGTCTGTCCACAGGAATTGGTTGGTGACAGATATTAATAAACCCTGAGATCTACTCACATCTGCACATCCACCTCTGAGAGTGAAGCAGAACACCATTTTCATCCATTCCCAGTTTTTTCCTTTAGAGAGTTGTCATCAAACCAGATGAACTGATCTTTTGTTGTCAGATGATGTGAGCAGGATAATGTGTGATGACTGTGACCTCCTGTCTTCCTGCAGAGGGGGCCGGGGCTGAGGATGGAGGCGGTGGGAATGCGGCCAGACGTCTGGGAGGAAGAGGATGAAGACTTCAGGAGGTGTCGAGCGGCTGTTGTCACGTCACGGTAACAGAGAGTGACACAGTCTGCAGCATGTCTGTTGCTTCGACTGAGTTAGCCTTTATGGCACCAAGTGACCTTGAACGCATCACATATGACCTACATAGGCATAAGTCACAGTACAAAACATGCTGTAGTAGTTCAAGGCCATGTTAAAATGCACAGAACCCAACAAACTGACGTTTAGCGGCAACGCCTACACTTGCTCATACATGTCTGTGTTTACTCTCCAGCTGCAGCTTCACTCTGTTTCTGTTGACAGAGTTTACAACCACAGAAACCTGCAGCTGTGCTTCATCAACAACAGTGACAGCGAAGACGAGGAGGAAGGAACCAACAATAAGGTCACGCTCCGTCTGCTCTTTCAGCAGCCTTGTGTATTCTTTACATTAGTAGCAAGCGGGGCCAGGCCTCAACACCATACCTGAGTGTCGGGACCTGTCAGAATAAAAGCTTTTTTGACCCCGTTTACACGGATTCACTTCGTTTGTCTCAGATTTCTGAGCGATAAAAAGCTCAGTGAAGTGGATCCAAGAAGAATTCAAGACGGACTGAAGTCTGATTGTTCAAACCACCTCTGGAGGAGGTTTGGCTCATTCAGTCCAGATGTTGAAAATGCATCTGTGTCTCCAGGACCAGTTGAGATCTTTAGTATTCAGCAGTCTGTGGAATCCTCACTGACTGAATCCATCTATGGTCTGTCCTTGTGTCAACACAGCCAGAACGATACTGAAACTGGGCTGCACTGTAAAGCAATGCTGAGGAATATCAAGGCAACACAATGCAATGGATTTTGAGGTTTCTCGACTTCTGACTACTTCTGTTGACTTAACTAAGGTTTACAAGTATAGACAAGAGTTCTGCCAACTTGAGTCTTCTTGTTCACCTATTATATTACATTTTTGTTTAAAATGAACATTTTTGTCGGGACTGAAAATGTACTGAGATACGGTACTGGGCGGTGGGTGTGCACAGTCACACTCAGCTGTTTAATGTTCTCGAATGTGACCTGATCAGCAGGTTGTTTCATTAAGGTGTGTAAATGAATCTTTAGTCTAAATCTGAGCACAGAAACTGAAGTTGTCTTGAAATGTGTTCAGAATTGATTCTAAATGCGCAGCTTCACACGTTCACCAACAACACACTGAAATACAATAACTGGTGAATAGAATGCTGATGAACATGCAGCTTTCAGTTCATCCTCATCTTATCTGACCACTGGCCTTACATCGCCATCAGGTCAACACGGGAACACGGCACAACAGTTGCCACGCTGCCGGGCTGAAACAGGAAGTGGCCACCGCTCTGAGGGCGCTGAGAGACAAACTGCTGGCTGAACAGAAGGAGAAGGAGGTAAAAGAAGGAAGGATTAACTTCAGTAACATAAGTAACAGCAAATGAACACCAGAGCAGGGTGTCTGCAGGTTTTTGAAAAGGCTCAAAAACGACCGTAGAAGCTATTAAAATGCCTTAAATACAAGGTTTCTGCGGTGATTACCAAACTACATTTAAGTTCTTTTAATCCCGGGTGATCAGTTGATAACTGTCTGTGTGTGTTGCAGCATCTGGCCAGCAGCAGCTGTGTCACCAAGCGGAAACATCTGGAGCACCGGGAGCTGCAGGAGTGTTCGGTACAGCAGCTCAGCACCTTGAGAGCAGCACTTCAACAGGATGTACACGGTACATACAGCCACAGAGCCTAAGGGGAAACTCCACTGAACACAGGCAAAGGCACTGAGGGCAAAGGCTCAGCTTGAATTTGAACAGGTTTACATCCATACAGAAAGAAGTGTGCGGAGAGGTGAAGCCTCTCGACACACACACAGTGGCCAAGGTTAAGGGGTTCTGAAGTGACTGAGCAGGTCCACGTGCACCTGGCCCTGCTGCCCATGAGGTTTATCGGGCTGCATGACATGGTCACAGTTTGTAATTTGGTTGTAAACAGCCAAGTCTCTTGTCTTGTCTGACGATTCTGGCTCATAGTGAGAGAAGTTCCTGAATCTCATCTCCGGTTAGACATTTTTGTTGGCGTCTTCACTGTAAATGGCCGCTTTTCTTCCTCATCAGATATTTATATTCTTCTGGTTTCTTGCCAGTCACATGACAGGACCCCATCAACACGTTCACTAGCTCCGCATGAGTACTTCGGACTATACACTGCTGTACTTTCACATGGGCTCACTCAGACATTATGCAGACTTTGTATTAGGGCAGAGTAAAGTCCTCTTAAGGTCCTGGTCGACTGACTCGGACATTTGCCTTCTCACATCCAGCACCCTCCGGCAAAGTCTAGAGAACTTCAGGGCTCCGGTGTGCATCTAAAAAGTGCTATTGATGGCAACTCTCAGTCAGTTCTGAGCCAGATGTGAGCTCTTTGTCCACAAACTAACACTGAAACTACACAGCTGCCAAAGAAACACTTAGCAGCCAAGTGTATACTTCTGAAGTGTTGCACTCTGGTCACATCTCTCACACAGGACTTTTTATATGGATGTAAACCTACTTAAATTCAAGCTGAGACTTTCCCATGAGTATAATGAAGTAAACTGAGTGTGCTGAAGGACAGAGAACACAAACAGGTCAAAACTGTTCACATGCTTACAGCTGCTTTTCTTGCAGCTCTGAGCTCCGAGCTGGTGACACACCTGCTGGTACGAGACCAGCTGAGGACAAAGCAGGATGCCATGCTGCTGGACGTCCAGGACTTGACCTAACCCCAGGACCAGAGACTGGACGCTCCATGCAGACTCAGCCAAGCCGTTGAGTTTCCTCTACATCAGCATGGACATTCTGTCACCCTGGGACCAGGCTGCTTGTCCACGTCAGCCCAGGAGTCCTTTACTTCAACCAAACGTTTGCCAACCTGCTAATGTACTGAAACTGATAATTCACCAGCATCCACAGCAACAGGAGAGAGATTCAAGTGGATGAAAAGCGAATGGCAGGATGAGTCCTCAATGCATGTCCATAGGAAAGTTCATGGAAAAGTTGGCAGGAAACTGCAAGTTGATATAAATGTTAAGAAGGAACCACAAACATACAGAAATTCTCTGGTTTCTGGATTGTTAGGAAGCCAGATCCATCCGCCAGCATCTCCAGTCACCCGCCGGCCTACTGAGTGTTAACGTAGCTAGACGGCCACGTCTGAACAGCCATTTAATTTGTGTAGTGTTGGTGTTATTGGGCTACAAAGCTGTGATCTGTGGCTGTGAATTCTGTGCATTGTGTCTGGAAATGAAGGCAGAGCGGGACAGGAAGTGGACCAGGTGACGGACCCCAGCGGACGGGGCTGCCTTCACTGCATCATGGGCAGATGGCTGCGATTCAACTAATGGATTTCGATCCGTCTCTGATATGTATTGGTTGCATTTAACATTTAGCCTTTTTGCTCACATAGCTGCCTAAGACACACAGTTGAGTGTAAACCGGTTTAGTCGAGACGCACCGTCAAACCATCACGGCCACGTTGATTTCCAAAAGTGGACAGACGCCAAACAGAAGCGCAGTCGGCAGTAACACCCAGCCACGGTCCTGGTGGAGCAGACCGTCTCCGGGTTGTGCGTTAATTGTAAAAGTAAGGACATTTTATCCAAAGTTTATTTGTCGCTTATTTAATCAGAAATATTTATTGTAACTGGGGCTAGACAAAACCGAGCAGTTCCGATAAACTGCTGTTTTTTTATTGGATCGATCCGATATCGATTCTTAAAAACCTTAGCTTTGTGCCTTTTCTCAGTAAACATCACATCTGCACTAAATGTGGGCGATTATCTGTCAGAAGTGGCTCAGTTCGAAGTGCAAGACGTGTAAAAGTCTGTAAACCCATTATATGCAAAGGAGGGATTCTAACTTATTCAGGTTTTATTGTGTTTATTGCATTCGCCTGTTTACAGCAAGGGAACCGTGCAGTCAAATGATTTTATTGTTACACTCTCACTTTTCTTCAAAAACAAAAGGGGACTTTCACCAAAATGTGTTTTGCTACCGTGATACTGAATCAAATAACAAGATATTCATGTTTCTGAGCATTTATTTTTCATTTTAGTGCCAAACAGATTTAAATTTGTCAGACAGTCCTCAAAAATAAAAACTGTACAAAGTACACGATGTTGTGATGACATGAGCCAGCATTTGTTTTAAAAGTTAAGAAGCACTTACACTGAGTTACCTTCAGTTATTCTACAATTTATAATATTAATTTGGAGTAAAGCTGAAACAGTTAGATTAAGTAATTAATTGAAAACATAACCAAGCAGCTAAATTAATAACAATAAATATAAACTTCATAGAAGGAGAGTTTTTGGTGGCATTCCTCGTTAACTGATGCTATACCCAGTTCATGATTATGATTGTGAGAAACAAGCGAGTCGCCCTAATATAACCACATGCACTGGACGTGATGATGCGCATTACATTTTGATTTGTCTTTCTAACTCTGCGTTTATGTCGCCACAAAGTCGTGACCTTAAACATGACCTGGTTTAAAGCTGAACATTTGAGGCAGTTTTCATCTGGCCAACATTTACTCTTGGTTTAACACACCAGCCGCTGACATTTAGATGCAAGTACCAGCGCCAGCAGCGCCCCCTAGTGCCTCACTGAGTAAACAGGTTGATTGATAATGATTACATTCACATTCCTCGATCTGTGGTAAGAAGATGAAAGATAACGGAGGACACACTGGCTTTACTTTTTATCTGCATATAAATTTAAAGTGACATGTGTGTGTTATGTTTGAGACGGTGAGGGACAGTCCAACGGGTAATACGTCGTCATAACATTAGATAATAAAGATTGTTCTTATGTCACTGTGACTTTAAAAGTATTGAGACATATTTTAAAAGTGAACATTGAGTGTACTTGTAAATGTCAACATTAATTCTGAAATATATTCTGAGGCAAAGCGATGACGTCGTGTCCTCCTGTTTACTGTACAAGACAAAATAAATGGAAGCAATTCATAAAATGCAACTTTTCAATAAAGGATCTCGGTATAAAGTGAAAACATTTAGGTGTTTAAACTGGACCAGGGCTGCACATGGGATGGAAAGTTCTCTCACGACTGACAAATCTGTGATTAATGAAGTCAGACAGGGTCCTGCAGGGGCCCCGTTCCCTGGTGGGTTACTTTGACCAATCCTTGGAGCCTGTTGTAGTCACAAAGTTTTGTTCGTTGTCAGCAGGTATGAGGTGTGTATACATGTCAGTGATGAGCTGTCCAGACCCACTGTGTTCCCTCACACCTGCTGCTGTTTTTGTGACAGGGTTCGATCAAACTCGGCACCGATGCGTGTTCAGACACGTGAGAGGACACGCTCAGTATTTACCCTGTGGTGATGATGATGATGGGTTGGAGGTGGGGCTGAGGACGAGGAGGGGCTGGCGCGTTCACTATATTCACTTTCTTTTCCACCTGAAGTCTCAGATAACAGGAGGCAAGGTGAGGAGGAGAAAACCAGATACTTAAAGCTCCAGCGGCTTCTCCGGGGAAAGGTGAGAAATTTACAGCCTGGGCCGCTCACCAAGCTCCCGGTGTCTGTTACAGCAGCCACTGATTGAAGCCCTGGCGATTCAAGCCTGCCAGGGTGAATTCATTTTGACTTTTGTTAATGTGCACATTTTCTTTAGAATCTGGGGACGTAACCTTTAATTTCTTGCTTTCTCTTTGAAAATAAGTTGCACCTTAGTAACACAGGTTTTAGACATGCAAAGAGGGCATGGTTCTTTTGTATAAGTGATATTTGTGGTTTTGTCTGTTATTTTGCAGCAGGACAGTGAACTGGAAATATGCAGAGCAATCATTTAAAAAGCACATTAATTAATTCAGTGAAGGTTAAAATGGCATGACATGGTTGAAAACTGTGTGGGCTGGAGCATTAATGTCATCTCGGAGAGAAGCATTTACCTGTCGATAAGGATTTTTAAACCCTATTCTCACTATTTAAACCCTCCGAGCCGGTGTGTCGACAGCTCGCAGCTGCACGGTGGGCGCTTCCTCTCCCTCCTCTGCAGTCCCCGTATTGGGTTTCATTCCTGCAGTTCTGACTGAATGAACACTGATTAATTATTTACAGAGAAGCTGAAGGTCAAGGGAGAAGCCCCCTACCAGACACCTCTGAGCCACAACTCCACAGAGGAACCCGTACAAAACGAGACCCGGAGGACCAGGCGGCTGCAGGTAGAAGTCTGCAGTGGCCGAACCCCTCTGACCCAGAGTCGGTCGTTCTGTTTAGATAAAGAAAGCTGGTCTGACTAGGCATATTTCCCTGTTTCCTACAAGTGGGATCAATCATAAGGCACAAATCTGCGAGGTTTTGACGCGGGCACCAAAACAGAGGTGATGAAAAGTACTGGATGGATCACTGTCCGTGATCCCCAGGATGCGCCGCCTCTCTGTGGACGCAGACCGGATACCTTTGGGTTTGGGATGAAACAACGCATTCTAATATGCCAGCTTAGAAACTGGGAACGACACTGGGCATTTTCCACTGTTTACTGTGGTTTTATAGACTGAATGATTAATCAAGAAACGACGGCGCCTCTTGTCAGGCTGAGCCAGCGAATACAGGATGAAGGGGAACTAAGCAAAATATTCAAATGACTCGTTGGTGGCTAGTGTTTCCTCAAATCTTTCTGTTTTTTGTGGTTTAAAAAAAATCCATTTCTCTTTAGTGCTGAAACTGTTAAATGGTTAAAATTCTAAAAGTATAAACCAGGCGCCCCAGAGTCCGTCCGCATCAACGTATAATCTCCTATCACTCTTTCTGAACCAGATCATGTATCGTTCAGGTCCATTAATGCAGCCCTCTCTTACTGTTGATGTATGTATTTGTATTTTTTTTTACATTATACTTCGTCCACTGTGAGTCTGTTCGAGGTAAATAGGACCTAAAGTCGATTCTGGCCGAGTTTGGTTTCTACTCTACCGTGACAGTAGTGCGTGACGCACAGTTTTGTTCGTGCACAATGTACCTGGACACAAACTGCTTGACATTATTTGACACTCTTTTTCCAAAACAAAGTCTAAACCCTGACCCAAACGCTTCAACAGCTGGCACAGGATGCCTACCTGCCATACAGAAAGGCTATATGAATGGAAAGAGCTTTGCGGAAAGCTCTGTTAATGATTTAGGGGCTAACTGAGCGAGAAGTAGTCTTCATCAGCAAAACGCCACTGGTACATTCTGACAGAGCATTTTCAAACTAATGAGTGTGTGTTTTCTTTCCTCTCTATCACAGAAACTCCTTCATACCAGAGATATGGACCAGTTGACAACAGACGGACAAAGACGATAGAGAGACAAATCAGAGGAAGGACAAATGAAGGAAATCTCAGTGAGTTCGTGAAGAAGCTGACATGATGACAGAGGAACCTGAACCGACCCAGTTGTGCCAGAAATAGCTGTCAGCAATTTGTCATGGGACTGAGCCGAGCCTCCATCGTCACTCCGGACATCAGTTTGGTGGCGGCAGTGGTGGTGAGCAACCATCCCAACACCTCCGGCACCTCGCCTCTCCCTCCAGCTTCCTGCAGCATAGATGAATCCTACAAATATGTCTTCCTCCCCGTCTGCTACTCGCTGACCTTCCTTTTCAGCCTCATCCTCAACTCTGTGGTGCTGCTGCGCTCCTGTTGCCACCACGGTGGCTGCTGTGGAGGTGGTGTTAGTGGCGGAGGGCGACGCTGGAATACCTCGCTGATCTACATGGTGAACCTGGCCACGACCGACCTGATGTATGGGCTATCTCTGCCCTTCCTGGTGGCGAGCTACGTGATGAAGGACAGCTGGGTGTTCGGGGACTTCATGTGCCGCCTAGTCCGCTTCCTCTTCTACTTCAACCTCTACTGTTCCATCTTCTTCCTCACCTGCATCTCTGTGCACAGGTATCACACTCCACAAACACGCCAGCCCAAGGAGAGATAAAGTTACCTTTAGCACTCAAAGCTGATTTCTGTTACATGTTTTCACTTTTGAGGAAAAACCCAGTAGCGCCGAGATCGGACAGTGGCTTTTGGCACGCTTTTCCCCGGGGGGCGCCTGCCAATTCTGAAGCGGCCACTCCCTCTCCATGGGCAGATAGGGCTTCCCAACAGCAGATGCCAGTATGTGGTCCCCGTGGTCCATGTAACACTGGAGCAGTGCTACAGTGAATGTCCAGTTGTCTTATACAGTACCAGCTCCAAGCATAATCTGCTGTTGGGAAGTCTGCTGCTCCTGGACAGCTGGCATCATTGAGAGGAACATGAATGCCCAAATTTATCACAAAATCTTCCAAGATAATGTCAGGGTAGTTGTGCACCAGCTGAAGCTCAGATGTTGGTGCTTCCGCAGGACAGCGACCCTGAACATGAAGTAAATCAACCACAGAATGAGCTCAAAGAGAGAAAATCCACCTTGTGGAGGGGTCCATTTAGGGCCCAGACCTGAACCCAACAGAGTTGGGCTGTGGACTGAGCTCAGAGAGCCGTTCACACTAGACATCCTGGGAACATGGCTAAGCTGAAGCAGGTCTGTGAGGAAGAATGGTCCAAAATTCCTGCCGACCACTATGCAGGTCTGGTCCACAGCTACAGCTGGTTTGAGGTTAATGCTGCCACAGGAGGCTTGACCTGTTATTAAATCCAACGGTTCACTTTGTCCTTCCAACCGGCATCATGAATGTTTAAGGGATGTGTTCCATAAACACACAGATTATAATTGTGTTCTTAGCTGAAGTCTTAGTGACTTAGATGAAGATTCAATCATATTTTATAACCAATAAAAGCAGAAAACAAAGTCATTCCAAAGAGTTCCCAGAGTGTTTCTTGGCACTGTATTTGGAATTTTACTTGCCTGCCTAACTGAGTGCCTCAGAGTCTGTCTATGTCAAGTGTTTTGACTTCTTAAGACTAAAATGAGATTCAAGCAATGGATTTGAACTTAGCACTGGTTGTCCTTCACAGGTACCTGGGTATCTGCCATCCAATGAGGACCATCACTCTGGAGAGCAAGCGGGTAGTGAAGGGAACCTGTGCATTGGTGTGGGTAGTGGTCTTTATTCTCACCTGCCCCATCTTCAGGTTCGCCCAGACTGGGTACGTCAGGCGAGGAGGTGGTGGGACTGTCAGTCCTGAAGGGCCAACGGAAGGCTGGAACACAACTGGAGAACAAAACATGGAAGAGTATATGAACTGCTGGGACGATGCCATTGATAAGGAGTTTGCTGACTATGTCCCGTATGGCATCGTGCTCCACCTGCTGGGCTTCTTTGTACCCTTCATAATCATCGGCTGGTGCTACTCTCAGGTGGTCAGGACGATATTTCAGAGCCTGCGCTCCCCTCCCAGTTCAATAGAGAGCGGCGATGATGGTCCAGGGGTGGACGGGGCAACAGATGGAGTTAGAGAGCAGAGACCCTCGGTCTCTATCTCTGGCTCACAGTACTCCAACTACATCCGTCGGAGGCGGAAATCTATTAAAACCATTGTAACCATCACGTTGATGTTTGCACTCTGCTTCCTGCCCTTCCACGTGACCCGGACACTGTTCCTGCTTCTGCGAAGAGGGCAGATTGGCGGCTGCAACGCCATGAAGGCGGTCTCCATCTGCTACAAGGTCACTCGGCCGCTGGCCTCCTGCAATGCCTGGCTCAACGCCCTCCTCTACTTCCTGATAGGGGATAAGGGCGCCCCCTGCTGCTGGCTGGGAGAACACACACTCCGCCGAGACCACAGAAATGGCTCCCTCTGGTGGCCACTGAAAATCCTGAAAAAGGAGGGGGCAGGAGAGGATGACCACGAGGTGGCCGAGAGGACTGAAAGGGAAGTGCACATGGAAAATGAGTCCAAGTCTTCAAGGATCATCTTCTAGGATATTTTAGTGCTGTTTTCTTTACAAAAAAAAATTTGTGATGCACAGAGGAAAAAAATCCAGGACTTAAACTGAAAGCTGACAGTGTTTTGAATTTTGTTACTAGCCAAAGGTGCATTTAGTAGACTTGTTAATGAATTTAAAGACTGGCAAAAGAAAAAGCAGATTAGTGTGTGTTTCTTTCCACAACTGCTGGTGGAGTTAGTAGAAGCTGGATGCATTGATGGTCTGTTTTCATTGCAATGCCACACTGTGCTTTGATCAAAACACCAACTTTTCCACCTCAGCTAAGAAAAAAGATCATTTTTTTTAAATTACTGATATTTCATGAAACCGGACTTTGTTCTGTTGAGCTTCAGCAGGTTGCTGACTCAGTCGCTGTTGTCATATCAGTAATGACAAACTTCCACTGAATCCTCCTGGAACATGTAATTAATACGTGATTCATAAAAAGGGGACACTCCCCTTTAATTGTCATGTGAAGCACTGGATAATAGTCATCTTACCGACCTGTACTGGTGTCTGAATGTACTGTACATCCTTCATAAAACAATATTTTGCATTCCTGTTTTTTTTTGAGTTCAGGTCAATCTGTGATATTGGAACTTAGTTTTGATGTTTTGTGGTGCAATACCTGGATTAAAGTCCATTGTTGACACCGGCTCTCGGTGGCCTCGGCCTTATTTGTAGTTAACATGTGGATCCAGTGAGCGTGTCTCAGAAATGATTAATCAGCAGAAGAATCATTTCCGTTTGTGTGGGCCTCTGACCCGCTGCATCGCCCTGCTGCACTACAGCCCTGAGTGAAGCCACATTTCATCTCACACTCATTACAAACCTCTCTGGATATCTGCCATATTTATTCAACTGTACACAAAATCTTAAGTATTACTTTCTTTAGTGATCTTCAACAAAACTATATAGTGTTAATGTACTTAGTAGTGCAAAATAAATATTTCCTGTGTACCCCTTTCTCTTAAGCTAGTTTATGCTGTTATTACTGCATCTATTAATGAATAATATATCAATTGCTAATGCTTTATAGACCAGTTTTAATCCATTAATAAGAGCAACTTTTGAGTTGCTAGATTGTGGAAAATCCTCATAGCCTGACCACTTATAGAAAACACCTATAGGACATTTGGACCAAAACCTATTAATAAATTAGCTGTCAATTTGTTATTATTCTGTTTACCATTTACCATCACGGTTATATAATCCTATTCTCAAACATGATGGAACAAAGTAAATCATAAGTAAATAATAAGTATTGCATTAAGTACACAGTGCTGCACAACTGGTCAGTAAATCATTTGTAATAATGAGATTTTATTGAAATTATTAAAGTGCTAATTTTTAGCGTCTGTGCTCATTACAGCCACATAAATGAGGTGCAGGACAGAACAACCGTCCTTATGAATTATCAGTAGTTCCTCTCAGCAGTAGTGCAGGTAAGTGTCACTGTGAGCCCATCTAGGGGACACCTGGACACAGCGTGTGTGGACCTCCCACTCTCCCCACTCCCAACAACAGCCAGCAGCCAGGAGAGAATCAAAGTCTGGAGCAGTTCATTTTGCTCAGAGATGAGCAAAGCCCAAACCAACTAACAAAACATAACTTTACGTGACTCTACCAAACAGAAGGTCATA